TTTTCTACATTTTCCATTTTTATGCAATCGATCAGATTATTGAGAAAATTTGCCTCCACGTAGAATGGACAACAAAATTACCCATTTCTTGTAGGATATGAATGAAAATTCGAATTGCAGAGATGATTGTGTAAATAGTTTCTTAAGTTAATTAGGTGGAAGTTTTCACCAACAGCACCAGCAAACGGACGGACGATAGGTAGACGAATGGTGTCGAGCTGTATAACGAAAATTTTAATTTTCGTTGAAGATAGTAACACTGATTCATAGCTCTGTTGTTTTTCAATTTTGTTTGATCTGCGATCATTCATTTCTTCTGTCAATCCCTTTACTTTTGAGAAAAAATATATCATATGAGGAAAAAATCGTATCTCGTCAAAGATTCTCGATTTATGAGAAAAATTTAAAAAAAATTGAAGTTTGACCTTGAAATTGAATGTCAAGGGGTGAACTTACAAGTCTCATGGTTTTTTTTGTATTCTACATCATTTCAGCTAGAAGATGCCGTTGGTCCGAGATCAATATCTTTTTTGGATCAAGACATATTCCTTTGCGTTTTTTTTTTCAATCTTCTTCACTGAGACATTGGTGGAAGGGAATGGTTTGAATTTGATTCGAAATATTTATGTTCTATGCTCTGTTCATTAAAGCAGCAAAAGAGTGCTCCAAAACATTATCATGCATAGTGCACGTGATCCCCCAGACAAGGCTGCTTGTACAGAGTCGCACTAAGGAACGACCGATTTTTTTTCAATATAATGCGGCTGGGTACACAAATTAGCTGGGGACACAAATTAGCAATTTCTTCAGCCGTATCAGTAATTGATATTTTAAAAATTCCAAACTTTAAGTATGTTTGTAGTATTCCTTGATATCGGTCGTATTTTAATTTTCGAGATGATGAAAGTTATTATAAATAATGAAATAATTTGAACAACAATATAATTATTTGCAAAACTCTAGTGGATATAACTGCATTTTCCCTGGGGAACTCTTCCACTTCACCGCATATAATGTGTATCATTTTAGAGGTATCATGGATGGATCTCAAAGGCACGAGTCCAAAACCATTCGTGTAGCGGACTAGCAGATGATCGAAGGAATTTGCCGCATCGGTTCTGTTTTTATAAACAGCTGTTTGCTACACCTGTCAGGTACCATCTGCTTTCCAGGTCTCGCGCGGGTCAACATCATTTTTCAATCATTTATTCGCAGGGACGTCCTGAAAAAAATTTTGGGATGGGTTTCACATCAAGTGATAAGTATAATTATACCTAAGCTCAGGCGCAGAACGAGTTTAGAGAAAAATCTTTCCACACACATCAGAATTTTGAAAAAATGTAACCAAGCAAGTTGAAACCATTGAAAATTGTAATAACTGAGGTGAAATAGAGAAGTTTCAAACTGTATGGTTAGCAATTCAGCAAGTTTACAAGTAGAGGAACTTATGGCGAAAATAATTGGTCGCTCCGACTTACCAGATTTGTAAATTTTTGGTATCAGGAAAAAGTCGTAGGGGGGCAAATCTGATGAATACAGGGGCTGGAGTATGATTACGATGTAATCGCCACTAATCGAAGAAAATAATGAGCAAGACTTTGACGTTTGATCGAACTTAGCGTGTTTTTTTTGGTCTTGGCTCCCCTGGACTCTTTCATTGGTTAAAACTTAGTACTTTAAGAACGAATTTCGCTGCCACACGCTTCATGCTCAAATTTGCCAATCGATACGCCGACATCCTCAGCAACTTCTCTTATAGAGAAAGTAGGAAAATAACGAATGCCCCCCTGCCTGCTACGCTACTGAAATGAGCGCCTTCTGTTATTATGATAGTTTTCCTTATCTGTGCTGCCTATATACCTATGTAATATTTTCTGGGGAATGTAGATACTTGTGAAAAAAAGAAATATCAACGATTTTTGCTAGATAATAGGAAACAGGACTGTACTAAACTTTTAGTTTTCTTTCGTTTTCCTCTGTACACAGTTTTTATGAATCATTCTGGACATGTCGAATTAAAATTCTTCTCAGAACTAAGGTCAATTAATTTTGAATTTTGTGCTGGAATGAGTCAAGCAAATTAGCATAGTGTCAAATATAATATAACCAAGAAAACAGTATGAAGTGCAAGATCTAGAGTGACAAATTGAGCTCACAATTAAAAAACCGCCAATAAACTTGCTTAAAATCTCGTGCAACCATCAGTAACACTTTTATTTTGAAGTAACGGTTTCAATATTTTTGAACGACTCGAATTGAATTTTGAACAGCTGCCGTTTAATAATATAGTTAATTTGCCGTTGTTCTTGTCTATTTTTAGTTATTTGTTCTTAGTATTTGTTACGCAATTCCACTATTCTTCTGCTTGACGCCTTTTCATTATTATAAATCTAGATCCCAGTTTCTTTATCCAATTCTGATAATTTTTTCACAGCAGCTCACGTAATGGCCGGAAGTATTCAATTTCTTTCTTATGATTTCAATTGTAGGAATCTCATTGCTTTTGTAACAGTCGTATATAGTTTTTTTTAAATTTTATTAGATGAACATCTAAAAGTTTTGGTAATTCTGTATCACATCGCGTCTTGCGTTCATAAGGTTTGTTTTTGACTATTTCACATACAGTTGGCAAAGGAATTTCGGTTAAATCTGATGTTGCTTGTAATAGTTTGTTTCCCTCGAAACCAAACTTGAGACGTATATTATTATATTCATTGAAACATACCCTCTGTGTTTCAATATTCAAATGCATCCGAATCTTATTCAGTGGTATCTCTTTTTAATATTGTTCACCACCGCTATTTTAATCACTACACTGGAAACAGTCTACGTTGTTATCACACTCCTTATTATTTTTTGTATTCATCCAAGGACACTCAAATCGCGATCAGTTCGTGAACTGAACACAGCGGCAATAACCATCCCCGCATTTCTCAATTTCTATTCGTCATCGTAACATGACTCTTCAGCCAATCATAAAACTCGGTTAGTAAAAATTATCCAATACGAACCGCCAAGTCTACAGTCCACGTGGACTAGTTCGCTGCAGGTTCATTTCTATGTATTTTTTTGCCTTTGAGAGTGCCGCCACCTTTAAATTTGCACAATATCGTTTACTTCGACTATACTCTTTCTTATGATAATCTGAAGTTAGGGTTGAACTGCCTCTGGTGTTTTTAGTAGTCCGACGTTTCGGCTTCCACTTTGAAGCCATTTTCAAAAAGCTATCACTACACTGAGGTCTCAATCTGCCTTTTCCTCAAATAGTGACAAGCTATAAGGGTTTTCTGACTTGACGCCTACTCCTAGCCTAGAGACTAGGCAGATTGGGACCCGGGCCTGGGAATAGGCGTCATGTCACAAAACCATTACAGCGTGTCACTACCTGAGGAATATGGAGACTGAGATTCCAGTGTAGTGATAGCTTTTTGAAAATGGCTTCAGAGTCGAACTACCAGAAACACCAGACGTGGTTCAACCTGAATTATCAGATTGCTGACCACAGAAACCTTTCTGAACATATTCCGGATGGTGGAATACGTGAAGTTGCTTTCCAGTTGTTTGTGTATTTTTTAAAGGTCGACGTTTAGTCATTATCTCAGCATTATCAATACTTGTTAGCGCTCGTTTATCTTAAGACATACTTAACTGATTTCCCAATAATCTTGTAATGTTCTTCTAAGTTGCTACCTACGTAAATCATAGTGCTTAAGTACCTCCCTTTTCACCTCTGGTACCTTCACCTCTATAGGTTCACTATTTATTATGAAAAGAGAACTTTCTATGTTTTTGCCACTTTTATTTGTAACTAACGTTACTGCAGTTTCCTCCTATACGGACATTTTCAAACTTATACCATAAACTAACCATGATTCATTACATTAGCCATTATATACCACACCTGTAGGTACTAGGCTCGATTGAGTACCTGAATTTACAGTTCACAATGCTGATGTGCCAATTTAAAAACCGGCGAGTAAACTAAATCGATTTGATCATTTGACAGGTTGCACTCGCAATGTTTATGCTTGTGAATTTCCAAGGATTCTAAATAATTGAGTTTGTAACCCTTCCTTGCATAGTGCAATATTTCCGTCTCGTTTAGATTCGGAAACTTGTGGTTGCATGTTAAGGAATGGTTTGGAAAAGTCGAATCATTTTTTCCTAGTCTGAAGGACCTTTCATGTTCAGCATACAGTTTTTGGAAATTTCGGCCACATTGTCCTACATAAAGACTATTACACTCCGGATTCTTAAACTTATAAACTCCAGAGTTCTCCAACTTGTCTTCCTTGTCTTTGGCATTGAAAAGGAAATGAGATAACCTGGCATTATTTATTGTTGGTTGTCTTTGATAATTGTTCTTAATTATTGTTTTCCAGATTCTTGGAATATTTAATGAATCATCTCTTTGTTGATCTACCCTTGTTTTTCCATGGCTTCCCCAATTTGTCAAATTTTTTGGTTTGTACTTGAGCTACCTTTTTTGGCGACTTGAAATTGATCTTGTGGTCTGTAGGTGGTGTTGAAAGATAGCACAGAAAGTTTGCTTTATTTTCACGGAATTTTTATGGTCCTGGGATCTGGCCGATGTTCGTTTGTTGGTCTGGCTGATATATTCTTAACCACCGTCCCTACACGCAATGCTATAGACCCCTTGGTTTTCGAGGAAAATCTAGTCTTTCGGCCTGGGTAGTAACCCACTGTTTGCAAACAGTCCGCGATAAAGGTAAATACCTAGTTATAATTTATTCTTATCCCATTACTATCCGCAATTGTTGGAAGTTGTGCAAACTAAGGATTAACGAGGTCTTCCTTCCTGTAAAAGTTATCAAATGCTTCTTCTTCATTTTCTTTCAGATTGTGGAGGTTTAGATCATTCAGAGACCCAACTATCCTCCATAGAGTTGACTTCTAACCATATTTGGAAACATTTGCACTGAGCAGTGCAAGTATATCCCTCCAGTATTACATTTGCAACAATAAATGAAACGAAAACACATTTAGAAACTGGCAATATATTCATAAATAAAATAGAAAATTCAAACACAGCAATAACAAACAATCACTTTGTAAAATCGATAAGTTACGAAAAAAAGGCTCTGACCGTGGCCTTGATAGTGGATCTACATACAGGACAGTGCTCCAAATAGGTAGCACAATCTACGCAAGTCGCTAGATGGCCACAAGGTAAAAAAACGATTCCCATTTCAGCGTTCATACAAATTTTACACAACCTAGCTTCTTGGATTATCCTATTTTCTTCCTCCAAGGAGACGTTAACTTCCGACGGAGCATTTTCAGGCTTCACATCATCGGGACTAGTCGTGGTACTGTCAGTGCTAGGTGTATTTCCGGTACTTCGCTCCGAATTGTTCAAACAAGTCGCCACATTGTCTCCACTGGGCACAGAATCATTTTGTGATGTATTTGCAACACCTGCATAGGAAGGTTGCAAACTTTCTGAATCTCCAGGGTTTCTGTTACTAGGACCACTACTGTTGCTATCAGCGTCTCCATGAAAATTCAAAGCTGCATCCACCAAAGCTTCTGTTTGGGAGTAAGGCCTCCCCGTACTTCGAATTTTTTTTATCAACGCACATTTCACTTGATCTACGCTCAAGCCTATTTGGAGTGCTGCCAGTGCTTGTGGACTTTTTAAATGCTCTTGTATTTCTCTATCAGTTACTTCTCTCCTCAGTCTAGGTGATTGTTTTGGCGTTGGCCCCTAGAAAAAAAAAATCGTTTCAATTGAGGAAAAACCATGATATAATATTGTTACGAAGGGGTAAGTGCGGGCCTGTGATATCTAGTGGATAGACAGAACATTTCTTATTCATACTGTATATGATTATGACGAATGTCATTTGCAGAATATGGTGGTGTTCTTCAATAAAAATCGGGATGCCAGGATCAATTTCACCATCGAAAGCTCTTAATAGAATGTTTACATTCCAAAGTGTTCCCCTAGAAACTTGACCCGTATTAGAACGAACTTGAACTTCCAAGAGAATATGCACAAATTTTCATATTCATAAAGGATATGATAAATAAATGAACAAACAGTATATACCACTAACAAGCGAGGGTAAAATCACGAGTGAGTTTAGTTAATGACTGGAAAATTTGGTGCGTTGGTTACGCTTATTTTTTTTATCAAATTATAAACCCTTTATTATATTTTGTGTTACTATCAACAGAGTGCTTGAGACAATGGAAGATTCAGAGGTAAGTAAAATTTACAACAAAAAATATGGGAATAACAACGGTACAAGAAGTGCGCCTTGTGGAACGACACGTTCGGTTATTCCTGGAACGTTCTAGAAAAACGTTAAAAAACGGTATCAAGAAATATCATGAATATCCTTCAACCCGTTTGGTTGAAATTTGATAGTTATTTAAAGTAATGTGACAAATTATTAAATTACTTTATTTCCAACAATATTTCCCCAATCACACACTAATTTATTTATTACAACATTTAGCAACTAACGCTGAATTTATTTCCACTATTTGAATGTCTTGTTTAGCCGCTCGATTCACTTTCTGAACTGCCCTCTTGGGTCGGGAAGACGGGCTTATATCGGTAACGGTCCTTTCTAGAATTCTGTAGTCGGTTCGGTACTACAATCTTACTGGCGATTCCCGACTGCATTCTTTCGCGGTAAGATAATGTGTTTGTTCTATGAGTCGGCTGACGTACTGGTCAGGGGCGCTTGTTTAGCCTTAACTAGAATCACATCTAGATCAGGAGATTCAGAATAAGAGCCTTCAGATGACCCCATAAGTAGAAATCTATAAGATTCATGTCTGGACTGCGAGCGAACCAATTTTGAGGTCCTGTAGGTCCTATCCAGCGATTAGGATATATGATGCCAAGATGCTGATGAGCAAAAACAGTAAAATGAGCTGGAACCCCTAGCGCATAAACCATATGTTAAATCATACTCATTCATGATGGAATCCCTGCTAATTAACAACTCTGAATTTTATTGACATCTCTAATCTCCAAAGCAGGTATAAAGGAACTTGACTGGATTTGGTAATAATTTGTTATAAAATAATAATAGTGAATCCATTGGAACCAGAGGCGTTACAGATTTCAATTCGGTTGCCTTCAAAACCACTCTGAACTGATCAAGTCAAATTCAATTACTAGCTCACAGTAAAACAGTAAGTAACAAGTTCTAGACAATTTGGCAGGATATTTTTTGGTATTATTACTTTTTTCCATATTCATGATATGCAAAAGAATAGCTTGATTTTTTTTTCGAAAACGAATGTAGATATGAAGAAAACACAAGAGGTGAAAAAGTTGTATTTTTAGTTGCGCAATGTATAAAAATGTAAAACTACAGAAAATAAGGCAGTGGCGTAATTTTTTCCCAATATTATTGGCTGCGGTGGCCACTGAGACGCCACTGGACTTTTAGGGCTGAATAAGCGTTTTATTACTTCAAAAATTGTAACCAAAGGTTCCAAACAGCGCATCACAAGTCCTCACAGGTATTTGTTAAAAGTAGTGGTCATTATTTCCGTTTTAGGTTATACTTTGTGAAAATGATCAAAACTGATCTCTCGAGCATATTATAAAGACTCAAGTCATTGCTCTACGTATTGTATGCAAAGTAATTTCGGTTGAATTTAAACCAACATGCTTCATAATCGAAGTATATGACCGACTATATGAATAACTTCACTGATAAAACAATAGTAACAACGTTGATTATTCAAATATATGCAGGTAAGCTACTTTTAGTTTTAATAATGCATTGTTCTCAAAATTTTGCAATGTGGCGACAGATAATGCCGTAAATGTTGCAACTGCATTTTCTAGATAAAAACGATGTGTTGAAATGATATTTGAACTACCAAGCTGAAATACAGAGCGAAAAAATTGGCAAAACTCATCAAAATTCTCCTGAAAAATATCCATAAACGAGTATCTAACAAATTTTTTATATCTCAGAAAAACATCTGCTGCTTATCGAGATTTGTGCTGTAATATTAGCGCACCTACCATTTTCATATTGAACTTCAATCATCGATACTTATTCAGCAATTGAATAAACCATTGAGAGCTAAATAATGAGTTGCAATAGACACACCTGGTTAAGTAACTCTTAAAAATAAATGAGGATGAATTGAGTTTACATTATTTTCCACTTTGTTCAACAGAATATATGAAAAAATTTCACAATGATAAGCAAGTAGTTCAATTGTCGATAGAAACCGCGCCAGATACAAAATGTCTAAAGTCTGCTTTCTTGTTGGATTTCCTTTATAACCTGATTTCTACTTCATCAAATTCAAAGAAAAAGAAAGCATTGAAAAGGTAAGCCGAAAACCAGGTGAGGTATCTTAACAGCGATTTTTTTGGAAATCCAACAATGCGAAGTCGACCTCAATTATTTTTCATTGAACCACCCTGGTTATAAAAAATGATAATTTTCATCGGCGACCTACCTTGCCCCGTTCATTTTCATATCTCGAACACGGAAATAAAAATAAAGTTGACTCAACAACTTTGAAAGAAACTACCAACAAACCTGCTGCGTACGATTCTTCGAAAATAAAACCCGAAAGATATTGCGGGAGCACGCGAGTCAATGTTATTTATAGTGTTATTCAACGAGTCATTTTATCGAATTCACTCCAATAACCACTCCAAACCTCTCAATCGATGGCGAATCTCGTTTATTTTTATCGATTCCTTAGGCTGCTTGATGCAATCTCTATTTGTAATAAACAATGACAAACCAACAACAAACCCACGTATCTATTAAAGCGATTCTGCTCGGTATTAACCTAATTCGAAATGTTTGGATATGAGATCATTCGATTTGAATTTCAATCGATCTAAAAGGTTGGGCAAGTAAAAGAGTTGAAAATTGTTTTCCTACTTATTCTGCAAGATTCATTTGAACAATGGATATTCACTGTGTAATCACGAGTATATTTTGGGTGAAATTCTAGCAGGAACAAGTTAAACACCCCTGAAAACACCTGCCTACACACTGAATCCAATTCTTTCTCGACTGCTCTGCTTCACAATAGAATTCCAGAGGATTTTGTTGTGCGACGATTGAGGAGTTAGAAACCAAATCGCTCAGAGAGGTCAAGGACAATACCAAAACAAAAGCTGCTTCGAAGAGTTTTCGTTAACTTTTTGTGAAAGCTCAATGTGAAACACCTGTTAATCAGCTGTCGCCCCCATACGAATGACAACTCTCAGAAGTTGAGAAACTTGTGCGATTCCTAACACGAACGTGCTAATCAAATATTGCCAAAAATGTTGATTTCCATCACTTAAATTAACAGTATCAACTTATACGCTGTAAAACCCAGACGAATTGATGAAATTAAATACATTTATAGTGAAAATGCTTCGTTTGAAAACTTTCTATAAGATTGTTCTGATGTCAATACATTATAAAATTACCAGAAGAAAAATTATAACGCCCAAAGAAAATAAATATGTTCAATAACTTTCAGCTAGAATTGTTTTATTTTCCAATTTACTGTAAAAACTGATATGAATGAAGTACCAGACAATTTGATTTGCTAGAAATAATGTTTCATAAAATTTTCGGTAGGGTTGCTAGTTTCCGAGATACAGCGAGAAAACCTTATGCACCTTTTTTTCTAAGATGACTGCCGGAGGACAAGGGGTGCGACGCCACAAACTTGAACTTCAGCTTAACTACACACCAAAAATGTAATTTCATTAGTTCGGACTTCCATATGATATAAATTGATTTGAAATACCTGTAAGAATCTGTAAAAAATTAAAAAAGAGATTAGCTAAAACATAACAATTATATTAAGAAAAAAACAGTTCTGATGTTATACTTGGACCCAATCCTTCTTATCCGACAATCCTCTGATGTAGGGAAGTACAAGTACTGGTTATGACGGCCTCTCTTCCTTGTGGAGCTCTTGCTGTCTTCTAGCTAAAGCCTGTTCCACCATCACTTTGGAGTAACCATTTCGTTGAAGGCCATTTGTGATGATACCTACTTCCTTTTAGAGATCTTCCTTTGTTTCACAGAGCCTGAGAGCACGGTCTAATAGAGCCTTGATGATTCATTCCTTAGTCGATGGATGGTGGTTTGATTCCTGGTTCAGATACTGTCCTGTGTGAATGGGTTTTCGATACACAGATGTTTCCCATTTCGTGTCGGTACTCTTCACCAATACGTCTAAGAATGGCAATTCGTTGTGGACTTTCTTCTCCATTGTGAAAGTGATGGAAGGTCTTACGTTGTTGATGTGCTTCAGGAAAATGTCTAGTTCTGCACTCCCATCGTCGAAACTGATCAGTTGATCCTGCTCTTTGACTTCGATTTCCCCTAGAAGTTCAACAAAATGCCTTGAATTTTTCACAAAGGATGATGTTTTTCCCAACAGTGGTTTAATTATTGGTAGTAAAACTCTGGACAAGTTCTGAGTGGCCGGATCTCTGGATCTTATAATCGGTCTGAACTAATGAAATGCACCAAAAAACATTGTCAACTACCTTTAAACAAACGCCAAAAATGTAACTTTCCAATCGACTTATCCTGAAATTGGTGTTTTCAGACCAGACGACATACCAAAGACGAACGAACCAAGTCGCGGAAAAAACACCGTTGTCGACCGATGGCCGCCGGAGAGAGGCCATATCAGCGATAAATACGGTTACGTGCATCGGCGTACGGATAGTCCGTCTACAAGATGTCGTTAACGGCCCATAATCAACACGTCCATCCGCTTGTCAGACGCTAATGGGACTATTTCCGACCAATAACTTCTAATAAGCCCTTACTGTCTTATTAAAATGTTACTTCCGTTTCGTATATCGTTTGTTTTTCTTGCATCTCCCGTATAATATGCGGTTTTATTTTTAATCGGCACAACGCAGTAACTTTTCATTTTGGCATGGACGATCTCTGTAACTTCTGGAATGTGGCAAAATATGTTCAATACATGCTGTAACATTGCTATATTCTGAGCCGTAACAGACCAATGATTGTTCTTTATCATTATTATTGTTTCATTTATTAGTAGTATATACAGTGAGCACCATATGTAACGGATACATTCATTTTCTACGTTATTAGCCATTTTCAATAAAAACCCTGAAACACCATATCAGCGATAAATACGGTTACGTGCATCGGCGTACGGATAGTCCGTCTACAAGATGTCGTTAACGGCCCATAATCAACACGTCCATCCGCTAGTCA